TTACAGAAATCCACTTGCCTCTGATTCCTGAGTGCTGGGATTAAAGGCATACACCACTGTGCCAAGCTCCTTAAAAATTCTGGATATCATATTGCTATAAAACAGTCTACATTTATTATCTTAATGTATCATTTAAGACTCCATACTTTACCTGACTTAGGATACTACCATGTTAAAATGATTAGATAACCACACATACAAGTTAGTTATTTAGCTTCAAATAAAGGTTAAAGAGTATCCAATAGTAAAATACTACATTAAATCTCACCTTTCATATTTAGAAAATGCCCCTTGTAGCAGTAATCTTAAAAGTTCTTATTGATAAAATCAAACCCAGAGGCAGGTATTGGGGTGAACTGGAAGATCAGAGAACAAGCCACAGCTAACCTCACCTGGTCAACTTCTCAGCTGGTCTTGTTTCCTCAGACTGGGAGCTTCTGTGTCCTCATCCCAATGGCTCTCAGCTGAACTGCTGCTCGAAAGCCTGAAGCTTAACCAGCCAAATGCTTAACCAGCCAAATGCTTCTAGTTTCTGGTCCTCACGCCTTATATACCTTTCTGCTTTCTACCATCACTCCCTAGGCTCGCTTTCTGGGATTAAAGGTGTGTGTCACCATGCCTGGCTGTTTCCAATGTGGCCTTGAACTCACAGAGATCCCAGATGGATTTCTGCCTCTGGAATGCTAGGATTAAAGGCATGTGCCTAACTAGTGGCTTTTCTGTTCTCTGACCCCAGATAAGTTTATTAAGGTACACAAGATTTTGGGGAACACAATACCACCACACCCCTTAAGATTATTCTGGGATGGGAAAAGATCTTCACCAACCCCACATCTAACAGAGGGCTGATCTCCAAAATATATAAAGAACTCAAAAAGCTAGACATCAAAATAATGAACAATCCAATTAAACAATGGGCTACAGAGCTTAAAAGAGAATTCTCAACAGAAGAATCTCAAATGGCTGAAAGGCATTTAAGGAATTGCTCAAATCCTTAGTCATCAGGGAAATGTAAATCGAAACAACTCTGAGATACCATCTTACACCTGTCAGAATGGCTAAGATCAAAAACACTGAAGACAGCTTATGTTGGAGAAGATGTGGAGCAAGGGGGAACACTCCTCCACCGTTGGTGGGAATGCAAACTTGTACAACCACTCTGGAAATCAGTATGGCAGTTTCTCAGAAAATTGGGAATAAGTCTTCCTCAAGACCCAGCTATACCACTACTGGGCATATACCCAAGGAATGCTCAATCTTACCACAAAGACACATGCTCAACTATGTTCATAGCAGCATTATTCATAATAGCAAGAACCTGGAAACAACCTAGATGCCCCTCAACTGAAGAATGGATAAAGAAAATGTGGCACATATACACAATGGAGTACTACTCAGCAATAAAAAACAATGATATCATGAAATTTGCAGGCAAATAGATGGAACTAGAAAATATCATCTTGAGTGAGGTAACCCAGACTCAGAAGGACAAACATAGTATGTACTCACTCATAAGTGGATACTAGATGTAAGGGAAGGGATGGTCAGACTGCAACCCACAACTCCAGAGAGGCTAGCTAACAGGGAAAGACCCTAGGAGGGACACATGGATGACCCTGTGAAGGAGAAGTGGATGAGATCTACATGAGTGGACTGGGTGTGTGGGGGGGAGTGGTAGAGGGCGAGGATAGGGGATGAGAACATAGGGAAATGGGAGGGTCAAGCTGGAACAGGGACAAAGTGGGAGGACAGGGAGGAAGATACCATGATAGATGAGGACATCATGGGACTAGGAAGAGGCAGGGTGCTGGGGAGGCTCTCAGGAATCCACAAGGTTGACCTCACCTTGGTCTGCTGGCAGTGGTCCAGAGGGTGCCTGGACTGGTCTACTCTAGTGACCAGCCTAGCAAATAACCTAGCTGTCATCATAGAGCCTTTGTCCAGTGACTCATGGAGGCAGATACTGAGATCCACAGCCAGGCATCAGGCTGAGCTCCGGGAATCCAATTGAGAGAGAGGAGAGATACTGCAGGCCAGGGATGTGATGGGAGGATGTGCAGAGATGACCGGCCACACTAGTGGAAGCCTATGAACTGTGGATTGGTGGCTGTGGAGCCCCCATGGGACTAGACTAGGCCCTCTGGATATGGAAAACAGTTGTTTGGCTCGAACTGTTTGGGCACCCAGGCAGGGGGATTGGGATCTGTCCCTGGTCTATGGACAGGCTTCTGGAACCCAGTGCCTGTGGTGTGACACCTTGCGCAGCCTTGGTGCAGTGGAAAGGGGCTTGGACCTGCCTAGGCTCAGTGTGCCGGGCTCTGCTGACTCCCCATATGAGACTTTGATTTGAGGGATGTGGGGATGCGGGGTGGCTTGGGAAAGAGGGCTGGGGGGGGCAGGGAGGAGGGGAAATCTGTGGATAGTATGTGGAGTGAGTAGAAAATTTCTTAATAAAGAAAAGTGAAAGAAAAAAGATTATTCTGGGTAGTTAAACTATAAACATGAAAAGTTTATGAACATTAAAGAGCACTAAAAAAACATTTAAAGTTCAGCACTTTCAGAGAATGTTTATACATTACATGTCTAAATATGTTACAGTTCTTGCATCCCCAAATTAAGGAAAACTAAAACCCATGTTAAATATAGCATTCTTCATAAATATCTTCTAGATCTCATTTCTTTAAAATTTGTAGATATAATTGACTTAATTCTTAATTGATCTCTTGTCATAATCCATCATTTTAGTAACATAGATAATTAACAAACAAAACTGGAAATAAAATAGCAAATTTCAAAGAGTTTTAAAAACATAGCCTGTGGTGATCTTAAATTCTCCTAATGAAGAAAATGCCCTCATACGTACTGCCATACAAACACTATCATCACACTTTAATGGAATGAAAGTCAAAATAGTACATTTATGTCCTGTCTGCATATACAGCATCATGTTTCACTATTCCAGTGTTTATTGTGGTCTGTGATCTATTTCAGGAAAAGGGAAAAGGCTACGCTAAAGCTTATGCTGATTTCAAAAGTGATCATCTCCCCCAAAAGATCATTTTCTTTATTTATTTTTATCTAAAAATACAGTTTTAGAATATAAAGTCTCATCAAAATAAAATATTAAACTTCGTGTTTTTGGAGAATTACCACAAACTACTCTCAGTCCTTTGAAAAACAATCTAATTTGAATCACTAGTCTAAATAGGTCATTTAACTTAGAAGAATTAAAATTAGCAGTGCAGGGTCAAGTCTTTTCCTAAAACATGTGCATCTGTTTGTCCTGTTCTTTGCAAAGTCAAAGCAGAGGAAAGTATCATGGACAGACAGAATATATGAGTCTACTGTGAATCTCAGTTAGTTTGTTCCTGAAACACCCATAAAATTAACAAAGTAAAAAGAAACAGAGCAAGGAATTTATTCGAGTTGGGGAGGATAGAGTGGCAGAAGGTAAATTGGCTCATTTACGTGCAGGAGGATGATAGCATGCTCATTCCTTGTTTTTCACACACATGCTTTCACAATAAACGCAAATCAAAATCAGCAAGACAAACCTAAAAGTAACACTCCAATACACCTTAGGCTCTCATAAGCTTTGCTTCTTCTTCTTCTATGAAACTAACAAGATCGCAAACCTTTCCAGATAGATACAGTGCCTGTGGCCCCAGCACTAAGAAGACTGGGGCAAGAGTATGGGAGTTTGAGGCCACCCTCTGCTACACAGAGGGTCCCAGTCTCACAAGACAACAGAACCTTAGCATGGCCCAGCACCTTTAAATACTGACTTATCTTACACTTCCTGATAAACTCAAATCCCTCCTATGCCGGAAAGCTTCAAAAATGGAATAAACAGTATCTTAAAACTCAGTTACTTAAATAATGATACTAATAAAACATAAATGAAGATGTTTAACTGCCGGAGACATTCAAGATCCCTCCAATCCAAGGGATTTCAACAGTGTGTCAATAGCTCAGGAACCCTTGACTTCAGAGGAGAAGGCAGGCAAGGCGTCAGAAGCGCAGTAAGCCAGTTTTGTTTCAACATTCTTCAAGGCCACCAGAAAATGCACTCATCATTCTTTCTTGATTAAAAGTAACTTCGATGCTGGGGTGGGGGTGGGGGGTCTTTCATATTGCTCAGCTGACAACAGTCTACTTATAGGAGTGATGAGGATACCGCTGAAGAACCCCGCTTTCCCTTTACCTACTTTGCTAACACCACTTCCCCAAAATGAGATCTTGAGAAATCCCGACTCCCTCAAGACCTTCCTATCTGTTTAGAGACAAATTGGAAGGACCTTGGCTGACAAGGAGACTCTGGGGGTGTGGCTTTGGGAAACTGCTAAGGAGCACTCTAAGCTACATTTTTTTTTTTTTTAAGAAAAACGCAAGGTGGGGGTGCTAAGCAAAATTAAGATTTACTCATCACCAGATGGATGATAAAATATTTATGGTTACCCAAGACAAATTTACACGCCCACCTCACACACACACCCTGGAGCAAAGACAGAAATAATCCCAGGAAAGGGTTGAACAGGCTGACTTGATCCTTCTACTACAGCATCTCTAAATCGGCTTTTCACCCGCTTGTATCAGTCTTCCCTAGTCCCTCAGCGTGCGCGCGCACGCGCGCGCGCACACACACACACACACACACACACACACACACACACACACACACTGTCTCTAAGCGGCCACTTCTCCGCCCCCTTTCCCCCCATCTTCAGTTCTGGGCGGACTTTATCCAACAAGGGCTCAGCCTCCAGGGCGTCCCTCTGGGTGGCGTCCCTAGCACTCAGGAGGTTCGGAAAAAGCCTGGAGACCTGGCGCCGGTGCCAAGGCTGAGGAACCCGGGGTTCCTCCTTCCACTCTCCTCAGTCTGAGAGAAGATTAAGTTGTCCGGACCGCAGAGCTCAGGGAGCGGTCCCTCCCACTCCAACCCCTCCCGAGCTCGGACACCCAAGGGTCCCCCGCCTCCACGGAGGTGAGCGCGCACTCACCGGAGGTGAGCTGCATCCAAGCACAGATCTTGTACACGGTGGCTGTGTTGCAGAAGAAGAAGAGGGTAAAGCAAACGATGCAGGCGATGATGAGCATCATGGAGAGGCCGATGAAGAAGGAGGCGGCTTTGAAGGCGCCCGAGGGCAGCGTGGAGAAGTCCGTGAAGCTGCCCCTGCAGGTCAGCTCCCGGGAGAAGCCGTTGCCGATGCAGTAGTGGAAGAGCCCGAAATAGCCGGCTTGCGGGGTGTCCACGCCGTCGCCGATCCAGTAGGGCTGGATGAAGCACACCACGTTGACGATGGCAAAGCAGATGGTGAAGATGGCCCACAGCACGCCGATGGCCCGCGAGTTCCGCACATAGTTGGTGTGGTATAGCTTGGCAGCCTCCTGAGCCGGGAGCATCGCGGCGGCGGCGGTGGCAGCTCCAGGCATTCTCCCCCTCCTCCTCCTCCGCCTCCCGGTCCTCCGCCTCCCCCCCGCCTCTCCGCTCGCAGGAGACACACTAGCAGAGCCGCGCGCGTTGCAAATCCCCTGCCTCCGCCTCAGCCCAGCAGCACCAGTTCTAGAGTCTGCATCCTCGCTCCCGGAAGGAGGGCGGGGGAGCGCAGAGCACCCCTCCGGTTCGCCTGGCACAGCCTCCCCCCTCTCCCCGTTGCCTTCTCTCCCTCCCTCCTGGCCCCGACTCCAGCCCTGCTCAGCACCCTCCACCCCTCTGCCCGCTGCTGCAGCTGCTGCAGCTGAAGCCTAGGAGCCCTCGCGCCCCCCATTTCCTTTCCCGCCTCTGATCCCCTTTCCTGCCAGTGCTGCTGGTGCCCCAGGGCGCAAAGGACCGTAGGTACCCTGAGATGCTCCTTAAGTGTCAGACAGGAGCCGGAGAAGCGGCTGTGGAGTTGGGGGAATCTAAGAGCGCACCCACAGGAATCCTAGAGGCACTCCCTGGATCCTGGAGGGTGTGCTGCCAGCCAGGAGGCTGATCCTGGGAGCTTTTCATCACCGCACAGGAACGTGCTTTGACCTCTGCATCTTGCAGAGAAGAAAGAAGCAGCATGGCAGGAGCAGGTGAAAAAAGGAAGATGACTAGGACGTGATGCCCTACAGAAGCTTCCCTGTCAAAACCACAGATTTGCCCCTGGCTAATTCTTCTGGTACCTCAAGTCCACAGATGGAGACAGGAGAAGTTGGGTAGAAACCTGTCAGACAATAATGTAGGAGTCAAGCTTGGAGGCTGATCTTCTATTTCTAAGAAGCTTATTTCTCTTCCCACTTTCCCACTATTAAACCAGATGAACTATGGCCAACTGAAGCCCCATGCTTCACTTTCAGGCAAGCCACTTCTCTCCCACAGAGCTTGCAATAGATGGGTCCTGCATGCACGGAAGAGATCGTCACAGAATTTTAGAGTTTGTTTGAAAACATCCCATAGTTTGGCAGGTGTTCCATTTATTACACAAATATTCATTGGCAGCTAGTGTGTGCTAAAGACGAAGAGGATGGCAATGGATACGTGTCTTAATGGTGGAAGTAGTCTCACCTCCCCCACAACCCAAAGCTCCAGTTAACCAGACTATTATCTTAGGGTAACTTCCCTGAATCATCTGCAAATAATGCCTCGCATAGCTGGTATGCACCTTTTACTGTTCCCCTGTTTGATTTATCCAGCATTGTCATTGCTCTTTGTAACAGGCCTATCTACCAATGAGTTTCTCTGTTGCCATTGCATTCTATGGTTCCTTCTGTGAACCCAGAATGCTCAATAGCAGGAATATACTTTGGTACAAATCATTTTAAACCCTATGATTGCTGAATTCTTTGAGCAAATGGAAGGCGGAAGTCTGTACTATATACATGAATCTTCAATTAAAATAGCCCAAAGTCTAAGTGATAGAGACTAGTTATGCTCTTCATCTGACACCCTAAAGACCTGCAATTGTGTAGGGGCAGGAAAGGGAACGACGGGCTTGGGACAAGGGACACACGAGATAAGGAAGGGGCTTCTGCTTCAGCTGTGAAAGATCTGAAAGTGTGAGTGTGGAATTTTACAATGAGGTCTCCTATAGGTATGGAGTTGAGGTATTACAATTATAGTTCAAGACCCATCAGGGCTTTGAAAAGAGGGCACCATTGAACAGATCAGGGGACTGTTAGCTAGGGTAAAACAGAATTCCTCTCAGGTGCAGCTGTAAACTTTCAGAAAGCCTTTAAAATATCAAAGCGATTTAGGAGATGCAGAAGGTGACATAAATGTGGACCAGTCCAATATAATACTTTATGTCTTTAAACATGTAAGTCAAGAGGATACATCTTCCATGTATTGGTGGTGGTGAAAGGTCAGAACTTCTGTGAGGTTTCATTCTGAATTCCCCTACACCTGTTGGCACACCAGCATTTTAACTTGGAAGCAGGATGAGGAAAGAAGTAATGAGATTTGTAGGGCCAGTTGACAAGCAGTGTGTCCTAGGGCAGTGAAAGCTTCAAGGCAAGAATTGGCAGTAATGTCTAGAGACTCTTGCAAGTCCTCAAGTCCCTCAGCCTGCTTATATAAAGTGGTCTTTCTTTGAAAGCTTCCTTACTGTTGCTGGGTTGGGAATGAGTTTGGAGGTTGCTGAGAACCAAAGGGCCTAGTTATATCTTGATGCTTAAATTGCCTTCATGGGACAAAGAAAAGACTGGCAAGTGACTCAGACTCAAGGGCTGTGAGTCATGCCAAAGGAAGGCCTTATTCTTGTTCCAGGCTCAGAATTGCCTCTGGGTTCGTGCTCAGAATCCTTATTGTGCCAGAAGGCACACTCAAAGGTGTCCACTCTTCTCAACAACCACTGAGAACAGTCCAGAGCTGGCAAGCTGTTAAGGTGCTCCTGTGCATTCCCCCTAAGAATTCATCATTTCCTCCTTCAGGTTAGGATTGAGAAAGTGTGAACTGGACCATGTCAATAGACCTTCTATTTCCACAGTGCCTTGTACTATAGCAGATTTTCAGACTGACATGGGGTCCTCCAAGAATGTCATAACTAGGGATGAGCTGGAATGCTAAATTCTATTTTAGACTATGCCATCAGTGAATGTGTTCTCTACCAGTCTTCAGACCCCTTTGCCACTGGCATTCCAATCTTGTCCTTTGCCACCAGGAATTTCACAGATAAAACTGATCCCATCCTTCACGTGAAATTTTTACTTGCATCATATAGGTCAATTGCTCTCAACCTGCAACTCTTTAATACAGTTCCTCATGTTATGGTGACCCCCAACCATAAAATTATTTCATTGCTACTTCATAACCTTGATTTTGCTACCATTATGAATCGTAATATAAATATCAGATACACAGGATATCTGATATCATTTGACCTCAAGGGATTGCAACCCATAGGCTGTGAACCAGTGATATAGATAGACTTTAAGAGTCTGAACAGCTAAACATATGTGAAACTCTGCAATCATCCTGTGTGACCAGGACAGCTGTTTTGGGGAGGAGGAAATAACAAAACTAGCCTGATTCATGCTACAAAGTTGCTATTGATAGAAAGGTATTTTGAAACTATAACATGATTCATAAGTGCTAAATAACTAGTAGAAGTCTGTCGTTGACAGCATAGAATTAGAAACACTGAATGCTCAAATTTCAGATCTCACTGTTGAAAATGCCTTTCTCTTACCGCCACAAAAAGGGTGAGTAGTGAAACTCCATCTTCACACTCTGTCTCAGTGCATGTTAGTTGGGACTATAAAAGATAAAGAAACCGAACAATAGTTGGGCTGTGTGACCCTCCTGAGGTCCTCAATGAGGTAAAGAACTAATCTGATGCAGCACAGGAGAGTGCAACCTCAGGACCCAGATCTAGTCTTTTCCTTAGCACTAGAAGCCTAGGCTCTTGAGGGGCTCCATTTCTCTTCTCTGCAATTTGGTGAGGAAGAAAGGACAGAAGATGTCTTCTCAGATCCCTTACTATAGTAAAATTCTATTTTATAAAGACTAAGATGATTTATTTAGAAAAGTTAAAAGAGAGAAACAATCTAGCATTTGAAAAAATAAGAAAAATCTAAAGAAGGTTTATCAGATTATGACACATTAAGGTTTATCAGATTAAGCACACATTTTATTCAAAATTGAAAGCCTTTCTGAAATTGTGTAGATGTAATTTTGCAAGCAATGGATGCTCAGAATTTCCAGATGAGTCATTGCTTGTGAGCAAGGTAATAGAGAGAGAATTTCTAAATTCTGTTGATTAATTGATTAATAGAGTTATGTCCAAGGTCAAGACTTTAGGGCAGAATACAAAGATTCTAATGGCTAAAATCTTCTCACCCGTAAAGGACTCCCTCTCTCCCCTTAGCCATTCAATTTTCTTTGGGACTTTAGACATCAGGAACCACCACTTAGTTAATCAATCACTGGGCTAGCAGAGGCAATCAGATGGTCTGAGTGTTTCAGCACTTTCTGAAAAATCAAGATCAAGTTGAGGGTCAGGTGTACTGGGTAGTTTCGGGTCAACTTGACACCAACTAGAGTTATCAGAGAGGATGGAGCCTCAGTTGAGGAAACGCCTGCATGAGATCCAGCTGTAAGGAATTTTCTCAATTAGTGATCAATGCAAAAGGGCCTAGCCCATTGGTGGGTGGTGCCATCCCTGGGATGCTGGTCCTGAGTTCTGTAAGAAAGCAGCTGAGCAAGCATGTCACATGAAGCAAGCCAGTAAGCAGCTCCCCTCCAGGATCTCTGCATTAGCACCTGCCTCCAGGTCCCTGCCCTGTTTAAATTCCTAACTTCCTTCAGTGATGAGCAGCAATGGGGAAGTGTAAGGCAAATACTCTTTCCTCCACAACTTTTTTTTTGGGGGGGGGAGTCATGGTGTTTCATTACAGCAATAGAAACCCTAATTAAGACACCAGGTAAGATGGTTCTAAGATAAAGTGACTTGATGACCTGAGTTGGCCCCCAGAATCCACATGGTAGAAGGAGAAAGCAGACTCCTGCAAGTTGTCCTCTGATCTCCATATATACACCTGCCAGGACATGGATGTGTCCACCCTACTCAAGCAAACAAACAAAAATAAACCAAATACGTAAATGTAAAATATCTATCATTCATTCTGAACTGGTCTCTTGGAGTTTTCCAGAAAAGGTACAGCTTATTGAAAATATACACTTTCAACTTGGGGTTCATACTGGAAAGCACCACGTGGATTCTCTGCTATGAGCACCTTTATATATAAATCTTGTCTCTCTATTTGGCAATCATTTTGGTCATTGAAATCTCAGGTTCAGATTTTTTTTTTTAAGAATGTCTCCAAATAACATAACCCAAAATTTTAAATCTTACAATCCCAACACGCTTCTAAATAATAAGAAAAACCTATCCACAAGGTTTTGTTTCTTACCATAGTCACACAAAAATGTTAATACTGATGACTCAGTACTCTGGGCATAAGGGCACCTGTCAGTGCCTTCCAGGTTGAGCTGCAGAAGCTGTTCAAACTCTCAACAGTGTATAACCACAGCCGTTTTTTTTTTTTTTTTTTTTTTTCCCCTAATCTACACCACATAATCATTCCCAGTTGGCTATGGTTCTCTTTCATGCAGTGGGCCTGGCTGTGGATTTGTTTTGTGGTTATCGGG